AGAATAGGCGCTATTCTACCAATTAGATTTCAAATTTATGATGCACTGGAAGAAATATCAAATTACACTTTTACGAGTGTAACTGGCGTTCGAAGTCGTTCTGAAGCTAAAGGTATAGCTGAAAAATTAATAAGCTGCAAATTTTTATGTAGTTTAGTAATTTGGTATGATTTATTATGCGAAATTAATATCACTAGTAAATKATTACAAACTATATCATTAAATATTCTCGAATCAATCAATCAGATAAACAATACCAAAATATTTTTACAAAAATATCGTAGTGATGAAAATTTTGAAAAAACACTTAAACAAGTAAGTAACTTAGCTTAGGAGCATTGTATTAAATTTTCAAATCTTAGATATAAAAGTAAAATTTTTTATGATTTTCTAGCATAAAATGATTTACGAATTTTCGTCATTTTTACATGTTTTGTCAAAATTCAAACTTTGAATGTTTATAAAAAAAATTGTGACTATGAGTTTCTTTTATTTTTCAACTGCTATTGCAACAATATGTTAAGAGCCTTGTATTAAATTTTCAAGCTTTTCTACCCAACAAATACATTTTTATCGATATTAATTTAAAAAAACCTAATAATGATCGAAAATTGCAAATACCTATGAATAATTGAACTTAAGTCGAAAATTTTTGAAAATTGAATGGTGGATAGAATATACTTATATAAACATTCGGTGAAAATTTCTTGTATTTATGGTCATTTGTTTTAAAGTTACATCAAAAACCAAAATCGATTTTGTCGAAAACTGATTGTGCGTAAAATTTCCCGTTTTCCCTTGATGTTTATAGTTTTGTTTTTCTCGATTATTTAGAAAAGTATTTTTTACTTTTGACCCCCAAAGTACCAACTAGATTCACTTTCTGATCGAATGAAGTACTGAAGTCAAAAATCGTAGCACTTTTACTGCCCCAAAACGTGTTGACAGACACAAAAAAAAAAAAAAATTAAAACACACATCATGGTAAAATCAATACATTCATCGCTCCGCTCAGAATCTAAAATTGTGAAGAACTATCTAAGATCACAAATTTCAGAGGATCGTTTAGTTGGATTGGCAATTATTTCAATTGAAAATCAAATTTTGAATGATCTTGACATTGACGATTTAGTTATAGATTTTGCGTCATCAAAAGCAAGAAAAGTACATTTTTAAAAATTATACTAGATATTGTATTTTATAACAACTATATTGTAATACCTTACCAAAAACCTATGTRATATTAATTTGATAATTTCTTTTTTATTATATAATAATTGACGAGTGTAAAATGATTTTAATTTTTATGCTCCTTCATATGACATTTTTCTATTTAAGTTATACTTATAATAA